CAGTAATGTGGCTGTTAAAACGAGTGATGTTTCTCCACTGACAGTAAAGTCAAGGATTTTAGAGACAAAGTGTTAGAAATGCATGGATTTGCAGGATTCACTGCGTATTTTAAACATGCGGCAGAAACCCATTTCCTATAGAAACTGTTGATGCAAGGCAGTCATTATGCTCCTGCTGCGCCGAAGATTCAGAGGGGTGATGGTTTCCCAGGCAACCTTAACTAAAAGTACAGTCAATAGCTGCGGCGGCGCTGACTTTTTCACGTACTTAACTTTAGAGCCTTTTACAATTTGATAAATAACAGAAAATTCTCTACAATTATCTGTTGGAATAAGAAGTGGAAGAAAGGCTTCTGTTTGTGCGTTGAAACATCGTGGAGTCCTGATGTCGACGACGTCCTGGATCTGACGGAGGAAAACTTCATCTCTGAGTCCAGTCAAAGTAAAGACGCAGCTGTAGCCTCGGGGAACAGGTGGTGTGTAGGTTGCTAAAGAAAAAGAAAATAGTGCCCCCCCACCTCCACAGCAGGTTGTTGTTTATACACTATGTAATCCAGTTCAGGTCCTTTTTTTTTTTTCTGGCAAAACATTCATGTTGCTTTTCCTCCTAACAAAACAAAACAAAACAAAGAATTCAATAATAATAATTTTTTGTGAACTTAATTAGATGATTTAAGGCATATGTGTCAAACTCAAGGCTCGGGGGCCAAGTGTGGCCCTCCAAGTCATTTTTGTATGGTCCGCGGGAGCTTGAAATGCATTTAGTAAGCACGTTTTTTTTATTATTACACAGAATAATCAACAATATTTGTAACTTGAATAAACAATAAAACAATCACAACCAGATGATGTGGCGCCCTCCCTGGTGAAAATGAGTCTGACACCCCTGTTTTAAATCCCTTTAGTGCACTAGGCCTTCTCGTCAAATGTCTCATCCTGTATATAATTCATTATTTCTAATCATTCCGTTAAAATTGCCGTCATTTTTTCCCTCCGGTGTTGGAATAATCGACAGATTACTGGTATTGATTTTTTTAACTGGTGCAACGTTCGACTCATTCATCTTTGATAACACTCTGCAGTGAAGTGCAGGAATTTAACTAATATTCAGTTTGTGTCAGTAAATATTCACTAATAGGAGTTACACTCTGGATTAGAAAAACTCACACTAATCACGCAGCACGGTGCGATTTGAATAAAAAAGCGCTGCGAGGACTTGTTTCATGAAATTTTAAACGCTCGGGCGGTTGAGGAACATTCTGGTTCAAATCCAGCCCCAGATTTACAAATGTTTACACACGTCCGTGCTGCCGATCCAACGGTGGAGGTGTTTCATAATGCATGCTCCACTTCCCTGTGTGTGATAACATGTGCTGCACTTGTTGAGTGTGAGGTTTGTTACGGCGCTGCACCAGATTGCATCACGTGGAACAGCGCCTCCTCTGATGTATTTTATCATATATGTATTTATGTGGATGAAAGGAGAAAAAAAAAGATGTTACTTTGAGCTTCTTCAGTACTGCGTCCTCCAGGGAGGCAGGTGCAGATGAGCGCTGTGATTGGTTGACATCAGACTTTTTTTTTTTTTTTTTTCATTTTCTCATGTGGTGTGTTTTTTTTTTAACTTTCTTTTCTTTATTCCTCTGCTGATTTCTCACTAGAGGTCTACTTCCATTCACTTGAATGTATTATTTCTCACGCTGTGTGGAAGTTGATACACAGCAAAGTGTGCATGTGTGTGTGTGTGTGTGTGTTTCTATCTCATGGCTGCCTCAGATCTCTGCGCCTCACAGTTTGACAGAGCGAGGGAGGGAGGAAGGAGAAGGGAGAGAGGGAAGAAAGGAGAGATAATGGGAACGAAGGGTGAACGAAGGCTAACACGATCATTAATGAGCTTCCTTGGCTCTCTTTGCCTGTTTCTGGGTCAGGGTCCCTTTGGCTGAGGGACGTGGGTGGAGAACCGCGGATCAGCAACGACACGAGTCCGCGGTCCAAATGGACTGGGACATGAAAGAGTCGTCACCTACACAGAGAAGCCTGGTTCTGTTCCAGCGTTCGTGTTGTGAGAGATGACAGCAGCTATCGGCTAATGACACTGTTTCACTGTTGTTGTTGTTGTCGTAGAAACACACTCTCTGTAGAAGCTGTTTCTCTCAAAAGTAGGAGCGTGAATTGGCAAGAATCTGGCAATACGATACGTATCACAATATGGGATGACAATATATATATATATTGTGATACGTTAGGCGGGACAATATATTGATTTTTGTTTAACAAACAAACACACAAGATGCTGTTCCTCGACACAAGGTTACTAAAACTAGAACAGAGGGATCTACATTCATAATCGAAGCAGCGATGTAGGAAATGGATACGATATCGTTAAACAAAATATTGCGATATATATGTATCGACATTTTCCTGCATTACTGCGTAAAAAAACACTGAGTCTTAACGACCTTTCTGTAATTAAAGACAGATCATGAGCCAAGGAAAGTTTGAATTTTTGAAACACACACACACACACTCCCCCACAGAACACCCCCCCCCTCCCCCACCCATCCTGTGGAGAGGATGACTTTGGTCACTCTCTGATTGGCTCCTCCTGCCCTTTCATTTCCTAGTAATCAGCTTCAATCTCTGGCAGGTATAGAGGAGAAGATAACATTAGAGGGACATCATGGGGAGATATCTGCTCCGCCAAGATGTTATTTACTGCCCCCAGAGGCAGCCCGGGGGGCGGAGGGGGTGCTCTGTCAGACAACACTACGGCGTGTCCACACAGGACAAAGAGGTTGGGAGACATGGAGGGACACAGAAGAATTACTGATGGGGCAGATAAGACCTGTTGTTGTCGAAGTGCTCTGCCTTCCTGTGTCTGTTCTGTCCAAGCTCGTTGTCCAACTCCTGTCAACGTCTTCATCTGTGTCTGTCTGTCAATGTCTGTGGACCAACTGTTTACAATTAAGACACTGTGTACACAACAGACAACAGTGTGTACTAAAAGTTCAAATATGTAGCATTTTATTACATATACGTATATATGTGTATATATATATATACATAAATATGTATATATTGTATTATATACTTATATAATGGTATAATAAGTAATAAGTATATATGTGTGCCTGTATGTATATACTGAATATATATATAGTATATAGAATATACCTATATATACTGTATAAATATATATATACATATATACTGTATCAATATATAAATATATACACACAGCACTATGTGTGTGTCTATATATTTATTTATATATAGGTATACTGTATATGTATATAAATATATACGTATATGTATATATGTGTATATATATATACACACATACACACAGGAAATATATACTTATTATATATAGTATATGTACTGTAAGTATATAATATAATATATACATATATATGTATGTGTCCTGTATGTACATATATATTCACATATACATATATATAAATAAATATATAAATATATACATTTTACATATGTATTAGTTAATTATTTAATGAATTCTGAGTTTTCTGGTTTGTTTTCTTCTGAGACATTTTTGGAAACATTTTCACATGTGTAAGTATTTATTGCTGCAAAAATACAAAGAACACAGTTCACCCATTGAGTTTTAAGTAATAATGAAAAAACATTGTAAGGCTGCGAGCGCACATGTGCAGTAAAGACGACTTTATTCATCACTGTTTGAACTATTCCAGCTGTTAGTGTTTTTCCAGCTGATTTGGTTCTGTCGTGGTAGTCAAACTGCAGACTCCAGCTCCTTCCTCCTCTACAGTAGAACTCTGTACAGTATACATACTGATGGACAGATATATGCTTGGCTGGCCTAACACAGAATCAGACCACAGACACACAATAGTAATTAATGAGAGGAGGAGGAGGAGGAAGAGCAATGACCTCATGTTAATTAAAATAAAATAATTTTGAGTTTTATAAAAAAAAAAAAGTTCAACGTTCATGAACAGAAACAGTTCAACTTAGTTGGATTTTTCACTTTCTTCATCTTCATCTTCTTCCCCTTCCTCACCTTTTGTTGCTCACCGTGTCTCTGTCTCCATTACCTCTCCTCCTTTCTTTCACACCGGTGAATAATTGATGTCTACCGGCTGGATGGTAAGAATAGAACAGTTCTGGAGGTGACAAATGTGCTGGCAAATGGGCCTCTCTCTCTCTCTCTCTCTCTCTCTCTCTCTATCTCTAAAGAGTCAGAAAGTTTTCCGCACTTGCTGGTGGGCGTGCTCCTCAGTGTGTTTGTGTTTGTGATGTTTTGTACCACTGTGAGAATTTCGCCGCCGCCGTGTTGGTGTGAGCGAGCGAGCGAGTGAGCGAGGGCGTGCGCGCCTGCCGTTTGTGTGTTTGATTTAAAACAGCGAGATGAAAGGGAGCTGTAATTACAGGGAAGCGTATCTGTCTGCTGCAGAAGTATCCGAGGAATGGCACAAACTGGGCCAAAAGCCTGAGGTCATTAGATCTGCTGCGTGTGTGTGTGTGAGTGAGAGTGTGTGTGTGGGTGTGGGTGTGTGTGTGTGTATAAGCTGGTGTGTGTGAGTGAGTGAGAAAGGAGCGAGTGACAACTCCAGTGAAGAGAGAAAGTAAGAGAGAAATCAGCTTAAAACTTCAGTTCCTCAGAGTCGACCTCTGAACTCCGCTTCTCATTATTGGCTCGGCAACTCTCGCTCGTCCTGGGCTGTAGCTGCTCGTGGTTTCTACAAATCCGTGCGGCCTCGTCGCACGAGAAGAGTCCAAAGTTTCCTGTTTTTTCCAAAATACACTTGTGTAAATGCTCCACTCTATCAAATGAAGGGCGTTCGACGGCGTTCTACAGCAGTGGATAATCCCATAATACACTGTCCCTCTGTCTCCTGTCTGCCTTCATTTCCCCCTCGACCCAATCATTTTTCTCGCTCCCTTCCTCTTCCCTTTCATCTCCTAAACGCTCCCTACTGTCCCTAATCTGGCCTCCATCTTTCTCTGTCTCCTCACAGTGGATGATGACTTCATCGGTCTTGGGGAGCTGCCAGAGACCTTCCCCTCGGACCCTCCCGAGCCCCTGCCTGTGTTCTTGATGGAGCCGGAGGAGGCCTACATAGTCAAGAACAAGCCGGTCAACTTGTACTGCAAGGCCACTCCTGCCACGCAGATCTACTTCAAGTGCAACAGCGAGTGGGTTCACCAGAAGGAGCACACGGTGGAGGAGCGCGTGGACGAGAACTCTGGTCAGTACAAAAATAAATAAAAATACAGTCTTCTAGGAAATCTAGGCTCACACACACACACACATACACACACACAAGTTCTTTGTTGCTTGCTTTCCACAAGATTTGAACCGGCAACCCTCCTACTGAAACCACTAGCCCTGGGCTGACCCCCAAAATATTGACACTTTGTGCAGGTTTAAAGTAGGGAAGTCCGATATTGACTTTTTACCGATATCCGATATGCCCATATTGTTGAAGCACCTAATTTCCGATTCCGATATCAACCGATACCGATATAGCGGGACAGTGGTGGCCTTATTGTAATTATTATTTAAACCACCGTATGATTTGTTGACACCAGCATTCTGCATACAACCCCCTGATTATTAAAATAGATTCATTAAATGAGCTGCATCGCTGCCATCTAGTGACTTTCACTTTCATATACAGTCGTTTTCCCCCAAAACTATTTTTAGGGCACACATGATTTGGCGAAACCCAGGAATTGCGTTTCGGGTTTTCAATATCGGAGGAAAATTCGATAACGATTTTTACCGATATTATATAATTATGCTAATATCGGTCGGCCGATATTATCGGACCTCTCTAGTTTAAAGGCCATGGAATAATATGACAAATGCTTCAGATATTTTAATGTCTCACAGAAGTTGGTTCACGATCGACGTTGTCATTTATTGTAACAGAAAAAGAGAAACAATATTATTATAACCTTCAATCAATCATAAACAAATAACTCAATCATTTTAAATAACCTCTGCCATAAAGCAGTGTTTGGCATTCATTTATTTGGAATATTAACTCCAAATATATATTTTTGCTGAATCTGTTTTTATCTTTAAAGAGCTTCATTTTTTTTTACTAGAAACAAAAAAAAAAACTCCTTGTAAAGAGGAAAGGAAAATCTGCGCCGACAGTGGTGAAACATATTTCTTCCTTTCATTTCTGAAAAGTAGTTCAATCATTCTGTCATGTCGCATTATGAGATATAATACAATAATATACAACGTAATAAAAAGCAGGATTCAGACTGACATGCTGTTTTTATGAATCTCCAATCAGAACCATATGTCAGTGTCACGTCGGCTATTACTCAAGTTCAGTGTCAAGTCGTTAAAAATAAACTCGCAACATTTTCCGTGCAGTTCGCCCGCTCGTCCGTTCAGACAAATGGTTGGTCAGTTCCAGAGACCAGTACAATTAATCAACCACCTGCAGGGTTGTAGTTCCAGACCCGGCCTCACGGAGGTCAGTGTGAGTTCCAGTCTCGTTATATGCGGTTGTGTACACGTGTGAGAGCCTTTAGAAAAGAGTGGAGACGGAGCCGAGATGAAGTCGGCCCCTGAAGGCAGCCGATCTATTACACACCACAGCCCAGCTCTGATTGGCTGCATTCAGCTGTCGTGGTGGAAATGGAGTTCTTTCTGTCGCCCACAGGTTGCAATCACGTCACGTTTACCCTTTTCATCCCACTGTTGTGCTGCACATGTCTGCGTGGTCACACACAGTCTCACACACACACACACAGCTGCTGCTGCTGCACCTGAAGTGTCGGCCTCAGCATGTAATTACACACACACACACACACACACACACACATATTTATTGCTATCTTAATTTGATTTCCAGTGCGAAGTATTTTAAAGGACAAACTATTGACATCAGTCATTGACTTGATGTTGCAAAAATCATTTTAAAAAAAATCATTAAAAGACATTTTCACTTATTGATTTACACTGGTGATGTAGATGGGTGGTTTATTTAAGGAGGTCAACAGTTTGGAGGATTGCTAACGTCAGGGACAAAGACCTGGAGACATGTCCTAACGCTGCATATGTTACTATCTCAGTTTAACATCGCAGTGTTAGATATGGAGTTCACACCTCAATGAGTCGACGCTTTCGTTGAGACTTGTTTGACCGACGCTGTGTTCGTTTTGCTAATTGAAACATGGAAATAGTGCGACTTAATTTAAGACGTTTTTTTTTTTAAATTAAAGTGCGTTATTGGTGTAAAAGCTCCGCTCACTTTCTGTTCGACAGGCTGTGGTAATTATGCAGGAAGTTTAATTTGATTTATCTTTGACTATAATTTTTATTGTGTAAGCCTTAGTATTAGTGATATACCGTCTAATGCAGTGTGTCTCAAAGTGTGGGGCTGGGCCCTAATGGTGACAAACAAAAACAAGGAAATTTAATAAAGTTTCAAGTTATGATGGAACAGCTGTGCTTTTATTTTCTTTTTAGACCTTTTTGGTCTTTGATGTTAATGATTTTGATTCATTCTAAAATATGACGTTACTTGGTGTTAGTTCAGAAAAATGGAATTGTAATTTATCAGGATTTTTAGTTGGTACGATGGGGGCAGGTGGTGGGCGACCAAGCTAAATTCTCAAACTCGTCTCAGTTTCTCGTCGGAACAACCCTCGTTAAAATAATACTGCTGAATTACAGTAACTATGACATTATCAAAAGCAGAAACATATTTAACTTAAAACACATTTTGTTTTTTAGACGTTTCTGACTCGTTATTTTGGGCGTTTGTTGAGGAGAACAGTCTGAAACGTCCTCTTCTCTTGGAGGGGACCGAGATTTAGAGATTTTCCGACGTTCCGTCCCCGTGGACTCTCTGTCAGGTTAGATGGGGACAGAGTGTGGACGGTCATTGTCAGGCGTCTCCTGAGCTGCAGAACTGAGTTCATGTCAGGGCTCTGACTGGGCCGCTGTCCCTCAGGCTGCTGCCCCTCATTGTCCTGGCGTCAGGTCATCGACGGTCAACCGTCAGCTAATGTCTGAGCTCCTGGACATTTAGCACCACATTTCCACAGTGGGATTTTTACCTTTTTTTTTTTTTTACACTTTTAATCCTCGTAACACGATGCCGACCCCAAGTTGTTTCACCGCTTGAACGGTTTTCACACAGACGATGAGACGTGACACTTAATAATGTGATCAAATACTTCAATCTTGGTTTCATTCGACCAAGGAATCTCATTTTTCACAGTCTGGGAGTCTTCAAATAGAACTTTCTGGAGCTTTTATTCACTGGCAGCTCACGCTTTGACATCACTTTTGCCTTGAAGTGCATCGTCAGCTGTGGGATCAGATACACGGAGGGGCTTACAGGGGTCAAAGGTCAACGGGTCTTTATTTGACATTTCATTCGCATACAGTGTAGAAGTAGAACAGCTCCCCTTCAGACATAAGGAACAAAACAAAAACGATGGCATTTAAAAAATACTGTATTCAATTTGGAAAAAACATTTAGTACAAAATAATAAATATAATATTTAAAATTAAAAATAATATGGTAAAAAAAACTGAAGAATATAATATTTAAAATTAAAAATAATAATAATATGGTAAAAAAAACTGAAACCAAATTTGGTATGTTTGACACCCCTTATTAAAAAATAAATTTGACTGACTCTAAAATGAAAAGTGAAACCACTCTGCAGAGTGTGTAGATTCTGACCATTAAGTTTTGTTAAAGTTAAACCCGTTTATTTTTGTCAAATCAATTCCGGCAGCACAGGCTTCCTAACCTGTGTGTCTTCAGGTTCTCTGGGAAAATCAAGTGAGAGTTTGGAAAACAACCCACAGACACCCACTCTTCACTGACAGATCCACAGGCTGTTTGCTGCTTCAGTTACACTCCTGCAGCCCTGAACACACACAACACCACAGGAGCTGACTACTGGGTGTGTGTGTGTGTGTGTGTGTGTGTGTGTGTGGTTTCCACAGAAAAGAAACATCGACAACAGCTTTTCTCTCCGGTCAATGCCGGTGATTGTTACACCAAAAAAAACGGAGGCCTATTTTTTTCCACTTTCCTCTTCACGTCAGCCCACTCTCAGCTTCTGTATCTTTTTTAAATGTTGCTAATCACTAGAGAAGAGTGAGACAAAAAACCAAAAAAAAACTTGATTTTTTTTTCTAAAAGAACCCCACGGTGTCACGTAGGACTGCTCCGTCGTGTGACTTTCCCACAGCAGCAGCAGGAAGTTTGGAAAATGTTGAAATGATTCATGTTTTTCTCAGCACATATCAGATAAAAGATAAAGACCTGTGTGAGTGTTCTGTTCATATTTAATTCTTCGGTGACAAACAAATCACATTCAGAATATTTTCCACAGTCTGAGAACTGAACTGACCGTAAACATCAGGCTCTAAATGATGTGTTTAGGAACCACCGGGGGCAGCAGCTGGCATCACAGAACGCAGGAGGAAATAACAGGCCTTTCATTGTTGTTGTTTTTTTTAAATTATTTACAGTTTTTTTTTCCCCTCATTAGACACAGTGGAATATGAATACATTTTATTAGTTCTGAGCAGAAAGAAAAAGTCTGTGTTTCAACACGTCAGTGTTTCCAGTGACTTACAGTAAATTCTGGTTTTTCGTGAAACGATGTGGTCGCACACCAGAGGAAACCAGCTGTGTCCACTCTGAAGGAAGTCTTCGGAAATAAAGGGCTAACAGAAATATTCCTGTTGAGGTCATGGATGTTAGTTTTAGTTCTTTTTTATTAGAACGTCGTATCATTCGTTAGTAAAGTTAAATTCCAAAACCCAACAGGAGGGGGCTCCACTTAGTGAATGACAGCTGGTTTGTACTGCGATACATTAGCAAATGTTTTTATCATGGCGTATAATATATATATATATTAACAAAATGTTGTTGCTATAAATTTAGTGACGTCGTTATCTTTATTCTCGTGGACATTGGTGGCTGGTTTTTGCAGATGTTGTTGCTATAAATTTAGTGACGTCATTATCTTTATTCTCGTGGACATTGGTCGCTGGTTTTTGCACTTTTATTTTATTTTTGAATTTTTTTTTAATTTTTAGATGAGTTTTATGATTAAAGATGTTTATTACATTTCATATTATTTTTTCAATTCAACTAAAATTCAACTGTTACTAAAATCTTTGTAAGCAGGTGTTTTAATCTTAAACCGCTAACCATTTTTTAAAATCCTAGTATTAGTACGTGGAGGAAAA